TTTAATTGAGAGACTTGCTATTGTGTGTGTGTGTGCTCACCAGAAGGGCAGAGAGGGACAGAGAGACAGAAAGTGAGAAATCACCACCCAGAGAGGATGGCCATGCTGCAATACCTCCTCCTCCATTCTCCTCTTCAGATTTTGGGAACACATGCACATGTGCCTGGCATGAGCTTTAAGCTGCTGGGCCCAGGACTTGAACTGTGGTCAATGATGTGGGAATTTAGCAACATAACCATTATGCCAGCTGTTGGTCCCTGTGAAGGGTGTTATGGACCAAACTTGGGAACTGTGATGGTGGAAGACATCAAAGGGTAATGGCTAAGCTTTTTCTTTACAAAATGCATTCTGGTGCATGTGTATAGAGTAGTTTTGAAGAGGGGTCAAGATTGGATACAAGAAGACCACAAAGGACATGACGATAGTGGTCTGAACTTATGGAAAGATGGTACTCCTGGAGGGGAGGTAGAATCAATAGGACTGTGGGATCGATTGATTGGGGATGGGTGAAGGATGTAGTGATGGAAAAGAAGGAGTCAACAAATGATATGCACATTTCTGGTTTGGATGGCCTATAATGTTTTCAATCAAGAAAGAGAAGGCATCACAAGGAAATTTAGGTGGAAACATTGGTTTTGCTTTAGATGTGCTTAGGTTGAGGTGACTGTGGGATAGCCAAGTGGAAATTTCCAGTAAACAGTCACATATAAAGGATGCTGTTCAGGAGAAGATGCAATGGAAGGTCATCAGCCTGCAGAGTTTGCCACAAGGTATTCTGAAGTAGAAAAGAAGAGGGTTCAAAGTAGAAAGGCTTGGAAAGCATATCAGCATTTAAGGCCTGGGCAGAAGCAGATTTCACAAAGACAAGTGAGAAGAAATAGCCAGAGGGAGATGAGGAAACCTGGGAGAGGACATTGTGGAAACCAAGAGAGACAAGCACTGAGCAAGGGGGCGTGGCTGACAGTGTGAAACGTTGCCGTGGGCTCCTGGAGATGAGTATCGACAGGGCCCATTGGACCAGGAAGGGCAGTTTCAGACAAGTGATGATGTGTGGAAGCTGAATTTCACTGTGTTGAAAAACAAGTGGGAGATGGGAGAGTGGTAATTTTGGGGATGGAAAGGGAGAAAGAGGCCAGTACAGGTAAGGATAGGAGTCAAAGGAAGTCCTTTTAGGAATCGTAGGCCTAAGTGTGTCTACACACAGAGAGGAAAGAGGAGCAAGTAGGGAAGGGTCCTGATGATGCTGGGGAAGAAGCGGTGATGGAAGGAGCAAGGCTCAGAGATGTGCAAGCAAAGATGGGCCTGGGTACAGTAGAGGCACTCCATCCTCCACTAGGGAGTAGAAACGAGGGTGCACTAGGCCACCGTGAGCCTGTAAGTAGGATGGAGCTAAGGCAGAAAGGGGCAGCAGGCTATGAGGTCATCTGGGAGAGAAGGAGTACAACAGCATGGGCGGTGGTGCTCATGCACATTCATGAGGGGTTAGAGCTCCCTTTTGAGGGCAATGGGTGAGAGAAAGCTATCCAAAGACAAGGACTAGTATTGGTGCTAGTCATAGTTCAAAACAGAAATGACAATTAACGTATTGATATTTTTAGCTCAGAGAGTTAAGATTCTTATCTTTTTTCACTTGTAGTTTTTCAACAATCATAGGAAGTGGGTATCATTAATGTCCTCATTTTATAGATGAAGAAAATGAGGCTCAGAGAGTATCCAAAGCTAGAGATGTATAAAAAGCAGACAGAGGCGAGCTTCAAACCAAGTCTTACTGCAAAGCTACACCCTTAACTACCTTGCCATCTTTAGTGGTGCTCAAGGGCCATGGGGGTTGGAGATCAGGACACCATTTGTGAGCTTGAAGATGGAGAGTCAAAAATGTATGTGTCCATAAGATGTGGTGGGGTAGACATCATGGGAAGATGTGTTTGAGGTCAGAAAGTTAACAGAAGTTTGCAGAGATGGGGAAATGAGAGTGATGAGAAGAGACAGGGATGGCAGAGCCATGGAGTGGGTGGCTGAGACAGAGTGGAGGTGAAAGAGCCATGAGACTATAGGGACCAGGTGTTACTGTGCTCCATGAAGTTGGGGACTGGCTCACAGCACCAATGAAAGGCATGGAGGGCAGGCCAAACAGGATGGGGAACTTCAAGGGGTACGGCGTTGTGCAAGGTCATGGTGTAGAAGGGGTGGTAAGGTGGTAAGGGTGAAGGGGACTTTCATACAGCACCAGGGTCTTGTACACAAGAGAAAGAGCGGCTTCCACTCGAGAGGGCTCCAGGGTAGCTATGTTCTGGTGGCCTTTGCTTCAGCTAAGGCCAGAAGGTAAAGAAGGCTCAGCCAGGAAGGGCCTCTCGGAACTAGGCCTAGGGACTGATTTATACTGATGATGCCTCTTGGCCTATCCCCTTGGGGACATCTGCTCATGACCTCAATAGGGCCTTAGATTCACCCAAATTTTGATCTCAGTGCAAACTTGGCTCCTTCCCACTTATAAAATCTTGGGCTTCAAGAATAACTGATGCTGGGAACCAGCAGTTAGCGTAATGGCTATGTCGCTGGACTCCCACATAGTCGACCGCAGTTCAAGTCCCAGACCAGGTGGCTTAAACTCAC